TCGCCCTTATGCTAGAGAGATTTATCCCCATTCGCCAAAATTAAGCCTAACACAGTAGAGTCTAGAAAATATTGGATTCAACGATCTGAGGCAGCCGAAATCATAGTGGAAACTAGACACAAGATAAGATGGTGTTAGCTTACCTTTTATTTCGTTTGAAGATGTGAATCTAAAGGACATTTAAATTGGCCTTACTGAAAGACGAAAGAGAATTGCCTTAGTCTTGTGAGTGTAGATTTGTGTGAATAAGTCCTTGGCTAACTGTCCCATGACCCCGATAAATCCTTGCTTATCTTTCGTCGGACATTACAGGAAACCATACTTTATCAACGTAATAAGATGCCCAATGCTTTGGTTAGCTATTCCTTGCTCTTCCTACAAGTTTACATAAAAGTTAAATGGCCATGGATAATGCATCAAGTAGTTGCAATTGTCACCAAAGGGCTGTATCCACCGCAAAAATACATGTATTTTTGACTCAGCAGTGTTGACACTTACTTGCGTTTCATTGAACGTTTTGGGGGCATTTAATTTTCATGAGGCGTGAGAGTGCTAAGTAGCTTCGAGGCTATTTAAGCCTCTTTTTGATTAGTGGTACTTTTTGTTACTCCTCTCCCTAATCCTATCCAACAGTTACAAATAGTGGTGAAGAACTGATAGTTAACTTTTCCCCAAATTATATGAGTAAACCTCACTTTTTAGTTGAATTTCACATACCTTTGTATCCCAAAAGATGTCCTTATCCAAAATAAACTGGTTTCGACCTCATCCAGGTCTCATCAGCTCCTCCAGTGTGCGTAACTCGTTTATTGCAGCGTATGACCTCGAACTAACCACTACGCCTCACTTCCACGAATGCAATTGGGTCACAGAGCAAATATGAATTTCCAAAAAGCCTAAGCTCGAAAACCTTCTTATAAATGACATATAAGTAAGGTAGTCGACATTCGTACGGAAATATGTTATCGGAAAGGCATAGTCTTCCATGAAATTCACGTCTGTCGTGTGACCCAGGGTTTTCGCGGCAGTGTGGTATAGTGGTAAAAATGTGGATACTATATGCTGCACTAAATAGATTCGAGTCCTGTCGGCAGTGATGATGAGACCTACGCGAGGTCGAAACTGCAGTCCATCCTTCTTAACCTAAACAAAATACGAATCTTATATTAGATTTATTAGTAGTCTCGAAAACCTACTAATGAACGGAAAATAAACTACAATTAGTTTGCTTTTACTTATTTACACTAATTCCTTCCATTCAGGGTATTGGACATTTTGTTGATCTCCATATCCCGCTGAGAGTTTGCTTTTAACCCAGTCCTGGCTTTGATTGTATACTATTCGTTGGTTTGCATTTCCACTTTGATTGGCTTACTGTCAAATATAGATAAAAGACATTTTTCGTGTAATGTGTTCTTGAATTAACCATGTTGTTTATTTTGCATATTTGTTCGCTTACAGTCTTTTTTCTATACTCATGTAGCTATTTTTGATTTCTTATTATCTTGTCTAGCATGCTAGCATTTCCATTTATTTTCATAATTTTAGTCACACCTTTAAGTTTTTAGTTACTTTCTTCTTTTTTAAGCTCCTTATTAACTTTAAGAATAATTTTGGGCATACTTTGTAGACATATTGCTTACCCGTCAAGAGGCATCATTGGACTATCTAAACTTATACTTATTGGTTCTTTTCTTCATTTCTTTCTATCTGATTGCTCATTTGCACATTCGTTGGGGAAGGTATAACGAATGACTGATTTTTTGCATGGATATTTTAAAAATATTAATTATTGTCCAATATTTCAGGCGCTTCGAGTTCCGGACAAGGATCCGGCACTCTTGATTCGATTGCTGCTGAACGCACTCCCCATCGATCCACCTGGCAATCGCATTACCTGGCAACCGGGTGGTTGGCTCTAATACAACTAGCTCTCGAACAGGCCAGTAAATTGTCGGACCTGCTTACCAACTTCGACAAGACCGTTAAGTTTCTGCGCGACCACATTGGTCCTACCTCTACCGGTGGACTCAAAACAACTTGGTTTGATGGCCCCTCCTCCGAGTGGGTAGAATCCCAGTTGGCGGCCTGGCGAGCTGATCAGCATGTGGCGAGCCCTACGCAGGCTCCTGGAGTACTCCTGATCAGTGGCCCAGGCACTGGAAGAACGTGGCAATCTCTCATCATCAGCTTGCTTCAAGTGATCCTTCTTATTATCATTATCAATTTCTTATTGTTTGTATCCTTGTTAAACATCTCTCAATCAATATAATCAAATCTTCATAATGATGACAGTTTTTTAAATGGTCATCTTTTTTCTAATATAAGCTCCAAAAAGATCAGGGGCTCTATCCGTTCATAGCCCTATGATGATAAGGACTTAATCACTCCCGGCTGATTAAGGAGGATTTAGCACAAACAATTAAATTTTCCCAATATGTTTAGTAAATCTCACGATGCCATTTAATTTCACCTAGCCTAGTCTCCCATCAGGTATTCTTATTTTGAAATAATTCATCTCTTCAAAGCATACTATTTGAAAATACGTTATGATGTTTTGTCTATTCAGTAAATGTCATTAAAAGTTCCCTTGACACAGCTATTCCTGTTATAGAGCCTAATATATGCTATTTGCACAAATTACAGGATATCCTGCTCAAAACCTCTCACTATCGAATTATTTTTTTATAATAGAACCTTTTTTCTGTATAAATATCTTGTGTCTCCTTCAAAATTTGTGGAACTATCTCATTTCATATATTGATATCTTCCTTATTTCGAATGGAAGTGTTTGATAAAGATATTTGAAAATCGATTGATTTTGAAATATTAACCTTTTATTTGTAAGTATAGTAATTATTGAAGTTGTTTGACCTTGTTTTCGCAACTCGGTCAAATGAAGGTCGTGCGATGGTGGTCAAAGCTAGGTTAGGTTATATGCCAAATAGGATGGGCCATTTAAATTCCACGTGAAAACTTTTACCAAATTGTTCTCAAGTTTGTAGGTAACCAGCATATCCTGATAATATACTTAACCTTTTTCCAACCATAATTACAAAATAAAGATCGGTCCTATTAACTCGATGATTATTCAGAGCTTACGATTAGCGGACAGAAACCAATGGTATAAGGAATGAGAGGGCTTTAATAACTATTAATTGACTAATTAACGCTTAGGCTTGTTTGAATATTGCATCAAATTATTGATAAAAAATATTTGCATGGAGAATATTTTGGAAGATATGCGAAGCCATGGGCTTTTTTTGTGTCCTTCATTGATCTTGGTGCTTTATATCTAAAAGTTAGGCTAACAATTTATAAAGTGTGAAAAAAAACAGTTTTCAAAAAAAATTTGACACTAATTATGTCTACTCTTAAAGAGGAAGTTAATTAATTATCAGACAGCTATGACAATATTTTTATATGAGATGTCTCGAAACTACTTATTACGAAAAATAATATTTTTATGTTCGAAATACTTATCGCCCTTTTCGACAAAAGTGGTAGACAGGAAAAGAGTTGGAATGATTGTAAACTTGTCGTTTTGTCGATTGTGTCACTAGGCATGTAGGGATAATCGAATGAATTTCCTTAACTTTATTTAGTTTTACCAATGACACTGCACCGATAATACTAATTATTTGATAGACCAAATCTTAGCACGTAGATACGAAGATCAAGATGTTATGGCCTCTATTTTGGTCGTAGTCTCCTTTCGATGTATACTAGTCGCTTGACTTTGTTTTCACAACTTGATTATATTGGCAGGAAGACCTAGAGGAGCGCACCTTGTCCGGAGTACATGGTATGCATGATAATTTCCAGTCGGACTGTGGACTTGGTAAATCCCAGACGTTTCGTCGGCATCGTCAGTGAGTCTTGCCATTCCTAGCACCATGACACAACTCGTCATAGAGACAAGTTGACAAATTGTAGCTTGGTGCTGAGAAAGGCAAGATTCACTGACGATGCCGATGAAGCGTCTGGGAATGTACCAAGTCTACAACCCGACTCTGGAAATTATCGTGCATACTATGGACTCCGGACAAGGTGAGTTTCTCTAGTTATTCTTGCCAGTATGACTAAGTTGCGAAATTTTAGCACATTTTCATCATTATCGAAAGGACAGTTCTAATCGGAATATCTCCGTAAGGCCCAATCACCTGCCTTCTTTTTTAATGGAAACATTATTCGAGTCCCTTCATCACACGCTTTCATTTAGATTGGTACTGAGCTTAAAATTTGTAAAAGTACATATTTCTCGAAACCCAACTTATTTTCACTTATTACAAAAATAATCTATTTGTTTTATACCCAGCATTTTAGTTTTCATTTTTCCCTATTTTTGTTTTTTAATTAC